AGAATAACGCTATTCATTCAGTATAAATCATACATGTAATCTAAGCCCACTTATTCTTTGTCTCTCATTTTACGTAACTTTTTTAAATAATTAAATATTAAACTTTGCAATAAATCTAGGAATTTGGAACAAAAAGTCACTTCGGAAACTTAAAGTTTCAACCCCTGCAACTATACAATATTAAATTTTAAAAACTTTATTTATTGAAATTTACAACTGTAAACACTAAAAATTTAAGGGAGTAAAAGATCTATATGGTCTGTAATGCCAACAGAAAAAAAAAAAAAATACAAGTAAATGTGAATTAGGACAATGGCATGGACAGATCTGTTGAGAAACTACTCTTTGGTAAAATCCATTAATAATTCAATATTAGAAGGTCCCAAGGCCATCTTCTTTTCAGACGCCTAGGAGGATTGTCAAAAGTCAAGGAGGATGTAAGTTTAGAAACAATTGGGTTTAGATAGACCTGAAGTTTTTTATGGATGGATAGAGATCGGGTTTTTGATAAAGTGGTAATATACGGAACTTAAAAGTAGTTATGGATAATTTAATTTGTGACAATGTATGCAACACGGAGAATCTTGCTAAGGATCTTGAATCATAAGGACTCAATTTGAGAGGAATTGGTTGGTTTAGTGAATCTCCATAGCTCAACTCCATAAATTCAAATATATATTACTATAGTTGAGTAAATGAGTCTTTTATGGTTGATGGGAAGCTTAGATCGTTTGTCTGATAACAGTCCAGTAATTTGGTGACAGAAACTAGCCGTTTCAGGAAAAAAATGCAGAAGAATTTTTCTTCGAAGGATCTTTATTTTTTTTTGGAATTCTGAATCTGAAAAACCTGTTATCGACTAGATTCGGACGTGGCTTCACCATAAAAAATGGCAAAAAAAGAGAAAATTTCTCAAGTTGTTTCAATATACAACTGTCTCGAGACCATGGGCGAATAATGTTAGTTTCTTAATAATAATGAGGAAGTCGTAGGTCTACGAGGAAGGGTAAAATTGATTTGATGGGAATTGTTTAAATTTATTTTAATCTTTCCATTTCAACACCGTTATTCAAGGTTTGCCACTCTAATTTAAAATGCGTTTCAATCAATTTTTACTAAACTTAATATTTCCTCAAGAATGAAAATACAAAAATACGCAAAATTTAAAAAAAAAGAAAAAAGGAATATAAATTAATTCAAAATGTTTTATAAATTCATTCTTTGTCTTCAAGGCTACTATTAAAAGGTTCTCGTTATCCTTTATTTATTTTTACGAAGGAATCAGATCTGAAGTAGATTTCACTAGCCAGTATAAGGCTAAATGAGTAGCCATTCTAATAAAGAAGAAGCTTAGCATGGCGTGTCAAGATGAGGGCAATTTGAAACATTTGTCCCTATCCCTTGTAACAAATATAAAAAATAAAATTTCTGAAAAAATTTTTAATCACAACATTTTGGTTTTTAGTCGTTCAACATTCTTAAAGAAATTAAATTGAAGTAACATATATTCACTAAATTAATACTAATTTCCTATTCTTTAAATTAAGTTCTAATTAATATAATATAATTAATAATAATTATTTTTTTTTTATTATTGAAATTTACAACTGTATTATATGATAAATACAAGTGAATATGGAACAAGTAACATGACATATACTACATGAAGAGAAACTACCCATTAGTAGCACTCCAATTATATTTCTATATTAGAAGGTCCCGAAGCCATTTTCTTTTCAGACGCCTCGGAGGATTATCAGGAATAGAAGAGGAAGCAAGGTTGGAAACAAGAGGGTTCGAATGGTTCAGAAGTTTATTATGGAAGGATAGGTATCTGGATTGAGCTAAATCGGAAACATATGGTACATGAATGTCGTTGTGGATGATTTTATTTGTGACTAAGTAGGGAGTATTGAGGATTTTACGAAGTATTTTGGATTGTAATAATTATATTAAAATTATGTAAATCAATTAATAATTTTCTTTCTTTATAGCTAGCCCCTTGATCCGTCTGAAATAACTAAATTAAAGTTGCTAGAAATTAATTTTTATATAAAACCTCATAAGTTATACCAGCTGTATTGATAGGCTTATTTTTTATTATTATTTTAGAATCATGCTGTCTTCTCTCAATGGACATTTATAAACACGTAGTTACTAAGCGGTAAGATTGTTAATTTTTATTTCAACAATTTCATTAATAAAACTATTCTGTTGAGATTAATAGTAAGTCCACCTGAAAGCAGTACATCATAAGGCTTTTTTTTTTTTTGAGGCCATACTTGAAGATCGTTTTTGCACAAATTAATCGTTTTAATTATATTCAGCTAATGGAAAAGATGAAACAATGACCAATTTTAACTATTTTATGAAATGGATTGTTTTGCTTTGTGATATGTAAAATATTAATCAGCAGATTTGTTTGAATAACCGAAATAATTAGAAATGTTTATAAATATGAACATTTATTTATCTCTGGAGATTGCATATCAAATTAATGAAACATTTTAAACTATAATTTAATTAAATGTTAAACAGGCATTGAACATTTTAATCTTCATATAAATAATTTTCTGGAACGGTCATTATCACAGCATGACATTCTGAAAATTAAAACCCCTCCTACACTTCATATGAATATCAAATCACATTTGTTTTTTATATATTCATTGATTATTTTGTTATATATAAAGGCAGTGTGTGAGCTGAAAAATGTTCTTATATTATTTAATTTTATTTATATTATAATATAGTTTATATTATTTAAATCTGGAATACGGCATGAAAATATATATTAATATGTAAAGCTAGAACTTTTAATGTTTCATAGTATTAAATATTATAAGAGAGAATAATTGCTGAAATATTTACTGGAATACTTAGATGCTTTAACTTTAAATAGAAAAATGTGGTTGCAAATTATAGTATATATTGATATAAAACATTTTTAATGATGTAGAAATGGTTGACCGTGATATAATATGAGAAGGAGTGGGTCGGAGGATGCGGTCAAATAAATACTAAATTTATAAAAAATAGTTTGTTTAATTGTTTCACCGACATTTCGACCCACCTTGCAGGTCTTCATCATAGCGTGGATCAGGAAGCAGTTGATAGACTGCTTGAGTCTATCAACTGCTTCTTGCAGTGCCTAATGCACGCCCTGATGAGCAAGGTGGGTCGAAACGTCGGCGAAACAATTAAACATACTATTTTTTATAAATTTAGTATTTATTTGACCGCACCCCCGACCAACTCCTTCTCATAAAACATTTTCGTTGTATTTTTAATACCTATTGAAAATGATCTATCTCATTTCTATATCATTGAAAGAGATGCGAATATAGTTGATCCCAAATCAATATTATTCATTATAAATGAATAATATACTAATGTTAGGAATACTTTTGAAATCACAAACATGTTATTGCGTGAAGCAAAACATTATATGGGAGTTTACCATGGATCAAATTTTTGAAATTGAATTTTTTAGATACGCTAAACAATTAAAATGATCAAAGAAAAATAACTGTGCAAAGTAATTTAACATAAAATTACAATAATCTAACAAACTATAATAATACAAAAGTGCAACAATACTGGTTTATTGGTACTCTCAGCTAATGTGAGATGTGCTGGCTACATATATGCCATCTTGAATTTTGCTTTCCTGATTATTCCTAAATACTGAGGTACATATTTCAGCTTGATTCTTGTTACACCTGTCATTATGAAGAACTACAAAATGTTTTACCTTTATCTTCATGCATTAACTAAATTATTGAGATAAAATATATGATTAAACTATTTAAAACTCTTTTCAACAATATGGTAAAGATTATTATAAATAATAATTATGATTAATACATTCCAAATTATAACTTTTTTTTCATCTAGATAGCTTAGTAGGTAAGACATATAAACACTCGGTGAGATATTCAGTTTTCGGACACGCTGTTGGTAGATGTGTATGTTATAATTAAAATGGTTACAGGGGCGGGTTCGAAACAAGAAGAAAATACCTCACTAAGCTTCCAGAACACTTGTGACGAAGCATTGGCTGGCTGCAAGACAGAACCCACTTGCAAAACGGCCCTTGCAGCGGTGATGCAATATTGCAGTCCCTCGTCTTGCCGAAAGGACCAATGTATGCACTCCTTGCAGAATTTCTACAGAAGCGTAGACCACAAATGGAGTCTTGAGATTGCCTTCTGCCTTTGCAAGTAAGTAATATTATTTATTTATTTGCATGATTGCTAATACTGTGTTAAAGTAATTCAGCAGGTTAACTGGAATATAATAGGGCGTATAAAATAAATGACAGTTTTTCAACCAAATATTTTTATTATTATTTCTTTTATATAAAATACAATTAATACTCAAAGTATTTTCCATTATTATTTACCATCTGCTAGCCAATTGCTCGATCCCACGGTGATACCAGATGCAGTCAAAGAACTCTTGGACCACAAAATTATCAATTTTTTCCCTTGAAGAAAATGGGCCATGGATCTAACTATTGTAAGTAGTAATCCGATGGTGAGTAGCAGGAGTCTCATAGCAGATGGATTTTTCAATAAATTTTCACAAATTTCTAACCTCTTAGCTTATTGCTGAGGAGTAATTTCTCGAGGAACCAGTCTACTGCTCTTTTAAGCCTTCCCCACGGAGAGTAGATGGCGACTAACAGAATCTTCCGACACACCACATTCCCTGACAAGTTCGCGAGTACTTGTGGATGGATTTGACTCAACAGCTTCCTGCAGAACCTTATCAATATCCATTAATAGTCGCCCGGAGCCCTTCTTCCTTTCCAACTTCGTATCTCCACCGCAATTTTTTTCAACTCAACGCCGCGCAGTGCGCTGGTCAAGGACAACTTCCTCTTCATATTTAATAATTTCCCGTATTTCTTTAGAGGATGTGAATTTTTTTTTCCATTAATGCCTTAAAATTACGAGAATTTCGTAGGAAACAGTCATGTTTCTTCCTTGAAAAAAATAACTAAACTGGTTTTTTTTTTGTCGAATGGGATTGAATAAGCTTATATAATGCTTCAAAGGGATCATTAAGTATTGGTAAGTATTAAATAGGATTAAAATATTTACAGTCCTATGAAATCTTGAATTTGACAAAACAGTCATTTTTTTTTTTATACATCTTATTAATATAAAAGAGCTCTTGTTTCCAAATCGCCCAATGAATCTGATAGTGTGTTGGTTCAGTATTCATGAAAGAATGATTCATCGAAAGTTTTGTTTAACTGTTTCATTCAAGTTAAAATTAAAAATAAATTAATTTTACTGTAAACAGAATGTTAATTTTATAACTTTGTATAAGCACAATTTGTATAACTTTCCACCTCGAATCGTACACCTTTTTTTCCTACAAAAAAAAACTTAATAAACTTTTTTTTGCTCAAAAGTGGTACTTGAAGTTTAACTCTATCCAAATGCGATCCTACTCAATGTGTTTTAATTACTATTGAAATAATCAGCGATTTTTGGAAATATTCGTCAGAAATAAAGAATTTAAAAATTTATTTCTTAAAAATAAATGGTTTTGATATTATAATTGGAATAGAAAATATTTCGTAGATTTTCATGTTTCCTGAAAATTTGTCAATGATGATTAGAATTCACTCAAATTATGGAATTTCATACTTCAGTCATCTTTCAATAATCAAATATTAGTTTTGTGTTAAGCATAAGATATATAATCTATCTATGAAACATAGCTAACATAACGATGTTATGTACAGAGATAACATCGCATGACTTGATGATTTTTTTTTTTCATTGTTGCCAATCAGAAGGCATTCTTCCAATATTCGTCTATTTATATAACCAGTATATAAGAATACATTTGTTTTTTTACAAATTTAACAATAGAAACAGTTTCTCACATTTTAGTAATTATGGTATATGAATATTTACTGTTTTTTTTCGTGAGACTGTTTTTCTCGTTATTTCTTACAGTTCTCCTCTCCCGAATGTATAATTACCAACTCTGGCATTTCTACCTGGCACATGTATAATTTTTTAGTGATGATTTGTTCTCAGTTTGAGGATAAGTTCCGGTCGCTTTTCGAGCAATATCGTATCATCATCCGATTACTGTAAGCAATTTCGCTTGTTTTGGATTGATTCACGTCTTATAAACTGATGTTAAACTTACCAGAAACTAACTAACAATGAATATTATCTTAATATTAAGGAAAGCTACTTACCAATGAGGAAAATTACATTCCAAGAAAAAACTTTGAAACTTTGGAAGCCATTAAAACTATGTGAGAAAATTGTTTTTAAAATTAATAAACATTTTGAATTCATGATACCAATTTCCTCTCTGAAATAGTGGGAAAAACATTCAGAAGCGGCATTTTTTATTTTAAAAAACAAAAACAATGAATCATGTATACAATACTACTTTATGAAACGCCGAACAAATGATAATGACGTTGAGAACGTTACATTTTGAAAGTACCAAAGTGGATTCATCGTGATCTTTTACAACTTTTTAATAGATATAGGCGGAAGTATTAGGAAGTGGATATTTTTTCGGCTAAACCGACAGATATCGCCGAGCGACAACCGCCATTGCCGCATCAATTTTAAAAGGAATAGAGATTTTTTAAACGGTATAAGTTGTCGAGGTAGGTTGATAGAGAACTCAGAAGACCTCAACAAAGCGTGTCTAAATGAGGAAAAATGGATCAGTTAATAAGGAAGACTTATTTTATTTATTTAATTACAGTTTAAGGTGCCATGTACAACAACAAAGGTTAGAGGCACCGTGTTTTTGTTACAAAATTACATAATTTAAATCACTTTATACAGTTAATTATCCTTCAAAAATTGCAGCAAGTTCTTCTGGTTTTCCTGTTCCAAGGCTTGACGGCAGCTCCGGAGTCTTAGTGAAATTCTTGAAGGATATAAGCGCTAACAATTTTCCATGATGTGCTCGATGGTCAATGGTCTGTTGCAGCTGCTGCATCTAGGATAAGGCTTCCCTTCAAGGATATCTCCATGCGTCAGCCTAGTATGTCCTATCCTAAGTCTACAAATTATGGTTCCCTGTTATTTGAGGCAGTGGTTCTGTATCTTCATAAATGTTCTTTACCCCGGCATAGCTCACGAATCACCGATGTATAAGTACCGTGCGCTAACCAATTGCGCCTCTGGGGAATCCTAGGAAAGACTTAAAGTGTCAGGCGGATGAGCACCCCTCCCCCTCTCTTACCTCTCGGTCGGCGTGCTGAGCGATGAGCCTTAAGACTTCCCAGGACGGCAGCAACAAACGGAGAGATGAGTCTCCAGACTTTGTGAGAGGTAGAAATAGCAACGAAGGAATGAGTCTCCAGACTTATTAAAAAAAACTACTAGCAAGTGGATGAGCATCCAGACCCTGTATAAAAGAGAAAGAGGGAATGATAAAGATTCATGAACTTCAGATCTAGTCAGATTGACAGAAGTCTAAAAATTTTACAAAATAAATTCATCAACTTACTGTGAGGAGGAGTTAAGGTTATACTATCAATAGATTGCCGAGGGAATCATACCATGACGTAAAATATGCGTGGCAAGAGTCGTACTGGTAATGACAGACTATTTGTGTTATCTGATCAGTTAACTTTATTCAAAATAATATACATTATTTATGTACATGTTTAAATAAAAAAAGTAACTTTTACAATATTTTTTACAAATATGTGGCATCAGGCGGTGGCGTAATCATGTAACAGGAGCATGAACTATGTGGTGAAATGTCTTCTTCGGACGTATGCGTCGTCTAGAACTAGGGCCGCTATTAAGTAGAGCTACAACTTTTACCTCTGGCAATTTTTTGTTAGACTACCCATTTAGCTGAGAGAAGTATTTAAGCAAATTTACATAGCACACTGTAATAACTATAGACACAGTTCTGTCAACATTAGACCGCACGAATATAAAATTCTAGAATTTGCTCTTCATTGCATTTAAAAGTTATGCGAATGTTTTCATTCATTGATAATCCAGCGTTGCATCCTGGGACAACGGAGAACATATTTTATCCCAAAAAGGAGTAATTTTTTGCCCTCCCCACCTCCCGTTCGGATATATATAATCGTATCAATTTATTCCTATCACAAAGCAAATCTGCTGAATATGAATAAGACTTTTTATAAACTCATTGCCTCAGTTCACATTGTCCTTTGGTGACATCAAAGATAATAGTAATATAATTGGAAATCTCAATGTCAAAAGATTCAGCAAGATCGAGCATACGATATCAAAGAAAATTCATAAATTATCACGGAATACATAATACAATTAAGTTTTTTTTCATTCAAAAATATTATTTTAATTGAGACATGAAATTCTAAAATTAGCTGATAGCCCAGTAAAATTAGACATGTTACCTTGCAAAAGGTAGGATAATTCAAATATATTTCTTATATTGTTAGGTATGCAGTGAATATAAACAATTCAACATTTTTGTACAAAACCTTTTTTTCTAAAGCCAATAGGAAGTGAACTATCGAGCCTCATTTATTGGGTCTTGTTTTCCTCTCACCTAGCATAGAACTCAATTAAAAAAATTAATAAATAAATATTCAGGAAATGAAAATTCGTCATTCAAAATCACTTCAATGAATAAGTTTATTTCAAAGACAATCGAACAACAAATTTGTTCGTGACTGCGAAACGAAAACATTTTTCGGTAATACTGGGCATTTAAAACGATCAACAATTTGGACTAGAAACTAAATAAATAAAATCTCTGAATATATATATATATGATTTTTTCAGAATTCACCAACAATCCAATTACTACAACATTTACTTGCCAAACATTCTGAATTTGCAATATTCTACAACTAGACTACCATCATAAGGCTCATTTGGACATACGGATTGGAACAAACCAATCGAATTCTTTTCGTATCTAAACTCAACAATCCAAATCCTTCGTAGAATCCTTAATGCTCCTCATTATGTAATAAATTAAATTATTCATTAAGACCTCAATACTCTCTCTGTTTCAGATTAGGCCCGAATTAGATACTATTCTTTTAAGTCTAAACATATTGCTCACCCTAACCCTCTTGTTCATAACCTTTTATCCAAAACGATTCTCGACAACCTTCTGAGGCGTCTGAAAATAAGTTGGCCGAGGAATTACCTAAATGAATCTAATTATTGAAGTGCTACCTACAGAGAGCTTTTCTACAAGCTCCTCTGGTG